ACGTGTGCTCTTCCGATCTATGCGTAAAACGTGACTACAGATTTACACACTTGGATTTGGAGTGTATACAGCAAGTATAATACAGAAAACTTTATTCTGTACTTATTTACTTAATTTATATATTTATATAATTTATATTTTATACAAAATTTGGTTTGGTAAAGCTTTGTGGGCTGCGCAGAATAAAAGGAATAGGGAACAGCTAATAAGAATTCAATCCACCAGACAACGTGTATTCCACAGTACACGGTTTCTGATAGATTTAAATTCTTATTCTCTGTTCCCTGTTTCCTTTTAAATCAACAACGGTGAAGTAACGCCAATGCGGAGCCAGCACGGATGTAATTGGGGTGTATTCTTTTTATACTGCGCCCCTTAGTCCTCGTTATCAGAGACATTTTAATGACGACGATTAAGCAACTGTAATATTACACTGATCCCATCCGTCTAATAAACGACTCACCTTAATCTCGTGCATTCGGGCGGCGTAAATAATGGGATTTACCAAAGTTTTCAGGATAATGAGACAGTTAATTATGCAGTAATAGAAGAATTTAACACTGTCCGACACCCCATTTAATTGTAACACGCAGTCGTTACAAATCAGTATGAACATCATTACTGCGGGCATCCATCCGATCACGAAGCTTCCTTAGAAATTGCGCGAACGGTGGAATTATAAATTTTTGCGAGAGATAAAAAATTACGTATATGTATTTCCAGGATGGGTACTACCGAGAAAACCTGAAATTCTCAGAGAATTTCATTTTTACCCTTGAAAATCATGGAATTTTACTGATACTCAGGGAAATTTTTTGAATTTTACTTTTAAATTTAATTTTATCCCTCTAGAAACGTGGCCCCATATCGAAGGTCCCTGATATTGAAAGTTACTTTAAAATTGATATATACTATATAAAGACTTTTTAATTTAAAAACCGATAATCCGGAAATAATAAATCAGGCATTAAAAGTCTAATAACGCAGAACTTGATGCGTGAAAGAATTTAATCTTCACATATGTAGTTACATCTCCATACAAAATCTTTCGTTACGTTCGAAAAA